TTTACTATACATATATATATAATAGATTACAAATTTGTTTGTATGAAAAACATATTTGACTGTATTTATAGTATTCATTCAATTGTTAGTAGCATTTATTTGTAGTAATAATTAAAAACTGCATTCACTCTATGTGTGTGTGTCTATCACTTGTTTCTCCTATCAGTATACATATATGTCTATCTATTTTTTCTCACTGTGTGTGTGTGTGTGTGTGTGTGTGTGTGTGTGTGTGTGTGTGACTATGGATGAGTATAAGGATATCTATAGCATCGGTAGTAGTAGTAGTAGTATGTAATGTAGTGCACCTGGGATTGTCACACACACACACACACACTTACTTTGCTAATACACAACATGCTGGGCCTGTTTCCGTCTGGATATACTATATGTATATATATGGTGGACACACACACACACAACACATATTGCACTTTAAAATAAAAATATAGCCTAACTTTTAGCATATGTTATATTAGTGTATTGTTAGGATCAGTATATATATAGTATATAATCAGTGATTAAATCAAATTGATAAGTCATGATGAATGTGAGAAGTGATACCTTTTTTTGTATGTATGTATGTATGTGTGTTAAGGAAGGACCTACTCTATCAATGGCACTCTCACTTCAAAAACTATATACTGTATACATATATTGGGCTAAATGTCAGGCTATCGAAAAACCCAACTTTCCTTATGACTATCTCTCTCTCTCTCTCTCTCTCTCTCTCTCTCTCTCTCTCTCTCTCCTTAAGTACTCTCTATAAGTTTAGAGTCAATAAGTTAAATGTGATAAACTATATAAACGATATGTGTTTTTGTATGTGAAATAATACTATTATTACTACTACTAGTACTACTACTACCATCACTACCACCACCTTTGTCGACCACCCAATGCCCAGCCATAGAGTACTAGTCTATTGTGTGTATCAATTGATGGCAACATTGATACGATAGCTTATCAACACACAAAAATCTCGCTTAAACTGTTTCAACAAAAACTGCTGCTCCGGTAGTTGGTATAGTACAGACAGATACAGACACACACACACATACACACACACACATACACACACACACACACACACACACACACACACACACACTCACTCCATGTCATCTCATATCTCAAAATACTTTACTTTACTAAATAAAAAAAAATCAAATAAACGGTAACTGTATCTACACTTTTAAGGCTTAATAATTCACAGCAACAACAACCAAAACTACTGGTGCTGTATATATACAGTATATATTGTATATATATATGACTTTAAATTTTAAGTGACAGGCAATCACTTAAATTATTAGCCATTTCTATAGCTTTTTTGTTATATGAAAGGAATTTTATCGTGTCTTCACAACAACACACATATATATAGAGTGAAAAAAAATTATATATAATATATAATTCAATTGAATTGTTTGCCCCAAAAAAATAAAATCTATTATATATACAATACTAATATATATAATATAGTTGAATATGAAATTTCATCTGAAAAATCTTCAATCTTTTTATTTATATATTTTTATATATAATATAATATACTGTATATTACTATATATATATATATAATATAAGTACTCGCAAAACATACACACATTTTGCCATTTAATATATTAGGCTTTACTTTATATATATAAACTATTCGTGTATTATGTGTATTGTTTGGGTGTAATGTTGTAAACCCTAAGAGTTGTGTAAAATAATAGCCTTAACACAGATGGATATTAAGGTGGCACTGGGAGAGAGAGCACTACTGCTGATGCTGTATATGCCAATAGCACTGGTAGTTTAGTAGATGATAGGCTACTACTGTATATATATATATATGGCAATAACTAGAGCACCATTTAGGTTATAAATGGATTCATTAATCTTAGTTTAACGAGAATCAAGTCATAGTTAATAGAGAAAACAATTGGTGCCCCGGGTTTGTAGCAAAACTAGAGAGAGAGAGAGAGAGAGAGAGAGAGAGAGAGAGAGAGAGAGAGAGAGACCATAACTTTTAGCTATAATAATAATAATAATAATAACGTTAAGAGGGGGAGGACAGGGGTTAAGCGCTTCAATGTGCGGCTTATTTACAGGAATTGAATGAATATATGTGTGGCACACAATTGGTAACAATTTATTTATATATATATAGAGAGAGAGATTAGGTTAGAGAGAGAGAGAGAGAGAGAGAGAGAGAAAGAGAGAGTTTTCTGGTGTATCAGTTAGAGTGGTGTCAGTGAGTATGTGTTTGCACAACCATATACTGGTATAGCTCAGGGCTTTTATATAATACAAACTACTGTATATATAATATATATATATGTCTGAAAATGTGTAATGACTATTCAGAGAGAGAGAGAGAGAGAGAGAGAGAGAGAGAGAGAGAGAGAGAGAGAGAGAGAGAGTATACAGTATTTTTCGGGCAACAAATGGGTAAATCGTTTGTAATATGTTTAATGTGTATGACATTCATTGGAGATGATAGCCCTAAGGT